CTATTTTAATACCAGATGCAGTAGATTCCAGAGGAAAAATGAGTAATAGGTAAAAGAAATTATTTTATATTTATGGGGGAAAAAAACAGTCAAGGGAACCTACAAAGGTTTTTTTTTAACTAATTACTGAACTGAGCTTTAAAATACACAATAAAGCAGATTTAAAATACATAATAGAACTGATAACACTTAAAAAAGACAAATCTATGCTTATAGTCAAACATTTCAATACCTCATATTAATAACTGATATAAGCTGAAAATCAAAATTAGTAAGAATACAGACTTAAACACACAACCAACTTGACCTAAACAGACATTTATAGAACATACTATGCAACAATAACAGAATATGTACTTTCTCAAAAGCACAGAGACAAATTTACCATGACAGACCACAAGTTTCAATAAATTTAAATATTTGGTCATAGAAAGTATGTTCTCTGATCATAAAAGAAATTATAAATCAGTAACAGAAAAATCTGTATAAAATCACCAAATATTTGGAAACTACATAAGACTCTTCTAAAAATATTCATGAATATAAGAAAACAAAAGGGAAGTGAAGAAACAACTTGAACTGAATGAAAAGGAAAGCAAAATACTCCTACTTTGCAACTAAAGCTGTTCACAAGGGTTTGTTTTTAATCAGAGAAGAAAGGTTTCAAATGAAATACCTCAGCTTCTACCTTAAGATACGAGGAAAACTAAGCACTGACAAAGATATTAAAAAAACCCAAAAAACTACAGACTAATATTCACCATAAACATAGATATAAAAATGCTCAACAAAATTTTAACAAGTCAAACCTAACAACATATTACCAAAAAGGATAATGCACTGTGGACATTTACTGTAGGAATGCAGAGTTTAACATTAGAAAATCAATCTATGTAATTTATCATATTAATAAGCTATAATTTAAAAAGCATGTGACAATTTAAATAGAAGCAGAAAGAACACCTGACAAAATCTATTGTCCATTCTTTATAAGCTCCCAACAAGCTAGAATATACAGGAACTTGCTCAGTCTAATAAAGGGCATCTATGAAGAATGTGCAGATATCATTTACCTATAATATTGAAGACTGAAGAAAGACTAAGATCAAGAATAAAACATGGATGTACCCTCACAACTTATATTCAGTACTATACTAGAAGTTCTAAACAGTTCAATAATGGAAATAAAAGAAATAAGGCTTCTGTATTGGAAAGCAAGAACTAGAACTGCCTTTATTTGCAGAGGACATGTTTATGTAGAAAATCCATTAGAATCTACAAAAAAGCCACTAGAATTAATATCTGAGTTTAACGAATTTGCTGAATACAAGATGAATATAGGAAAGTTAATATTACAATATTATTACTTTTCAATCAAACTTAAATAAAAAACCCAGACCATTTGTATTACAGAATCAAAATATTAAATACTTAGAATTAAATCTGACAAAAGATATGAAATATCTCAGTGATGAAACCCACAAAATTCAGCTAAGAAATTAAAGTAGACCTAAATAATGTGTTTAAAGATTCAATATTGTTAAGATGTCAATTCTCTCAATAGGTCAGTTAGTCAATAAATTCAATGTAACCCCTGACACCCCCAACAAAACAGATAATTCATAATATAGAATCAAAATCCGATGGGATAAAAGGGAGCTGATATCAAAGAGTTCAAGAAGAAAGAAATGCATTGAAACCGACAGTGGTAGCATTTGTACAATTATGCCTGATCTAACTGAAATATGGATTGTTACAATATCTGTAAGCACACCCAATAAAATTAAAACAAAACATAATCTGGCAGTTACCAACCTGTAACAGTTATCACCCATCTCTTTGGCAACTCGTCTAATTGGTCCCTCCCCAGCATGTGACAAATGTTGCCCTAAATCTCAAACTCTAGTCCATGTCTACTCATAGCAACTCCCCCTGTGGGTTCCCGAGACTGTAACTGTTTATAGGGAAAACCCTGTATTTCTCCCTCATAGCAACTGGGGGGTTCAAACTGCCGACCCAGAAGACTGCAGCCCAACCCTTAACCATTGTTCCACTGTGGTACTTACATGATCTGTTGTCAATTAAAAAGGATTAAGAGTGAAGGGGTGGAGGTTAGCCTGTTAATCAGGTCTCAGCTTGATGACCACATTTGGAGGTGCTAAGGAGATAAATAGCTCGCTGGAAGTGGGACACATGCTGACTCCCTGCAAGACATCCCTGTTGAGAACACATGGAGAGAGGCTGATGGAGCCACATGGAGACCCCTGAAATCACTGAGATGCTTCCATTGCCACTGGATCCACAAGACTTTTCACCCACTGGCCTGTGATCTTTCTGCAACTGAAATCATTGTATGTGTTTCGTGAACCTGAAGAGAAATTTATAGATTGGTATTGGGCATATGGGCTAATATCGGATTTGTGGACTTGATCTGGACTGGGTTGCGATGTTTTCTCAATATTCAACTGCTCTTGCATATAAAGTTCTTTCTTACATACATGAGTGTCTCCCTGGATTTGTTTCTCTAGTCTACACAGACTAACACAGCTACCAAGACTCCCTGTTGCCCTATGTATTCCCATAGCAATTACATTATACTACTTCTCAAACCATAATCCAATTTAGTATTTAGGTGATGGTCACCTTTACCAGACCCGCTGAGATTTTTGAGTACTGTATTTCCAGTGCTGGGTATATAACAGAAACTCATACATACAGATAGGATGGATGGATGGATGGATGGATGGATGGATGGATGGATGGATGAGTGACTCGACTCTTAAGAGTGCTTAAATGTTTTGTCTAATATCACACAGCTAATTAGGGTCTCATCTTTTCTCTCATGTGCCTTTGGTGAGGGAGAAAGACATATAAGGAAGATAAGCTAACCTAACTCAATATGGGTTTCATGTCCACCCTGCTGGAGCCCAGGTGATGTAGTGGGTTACAAGTTGGGCTGCTAATCACAAGTTGACCTGTTCAAAACCTCTAGCAACACTATAGGAGAAAGATGAGGCTTTCTGCTCCCATTGTTTTAGAGCCTCTAAAATCCAGATGGGCAGTTTTACTTTGTCCTATAGGAGCCCTTGGTGGAGTAATTGTTACGCATTGGGCTGCCACAGGCAAGGTGAACGGTTCAAAACTATCAGGTGCTCCATGGAAGAAAAATTAGGTTTTTCAAAGAGTTAGTCTCAGAAAACCACTAGTGTTTCTCAGTCCTATAGGGTTGCCATGAGTAGGAACTGACTGGATGACAGTGAGTTTTATTGTGTTTCTAATCTGGTAGAAGGTGGCACAGACAGAGGATCAAAAACATTCCTTTAGGAGTGACTTTACATTATGTGGGGCAATAATTCTATCAACTATCTTGCAGGGAAATGAACTATTAGAGGGACAAGACAAATTATTTCCATTCTGCTAAGCTTTACATTCTGACTTTAACACGCTGGAAGGTCACTCACAGGTTTTCCTAATAATCCTGATTCCTCTCCCTTTACGCAATCACACCAGCACTATTATAAAACCAAACTAATTGCCATCTGACTGATTCTGACTGATAGAGACCATATAGGACAGAGTAGAACTGTCCCTATGGGTTTCCAAGGCTGTAAATCTTTACAGGAGCAGGCAACCCGTCATCTTTTCCCCATGGAGCAACTGGTGGGTTCAAACTGCTGACCATGTGGTTAGTGGTTCAATGCATAGCTCACTATGCCACCAGAGCTCCTGTTACTAACTAGTAGTTCCAATTTTGTGGGCTCTCCATCAAATAGGGGGATTAGATTGGTCACTCCAATTTGTTTTTGCACAAATGAATAGCGTCATTTACTCCCAAACCTAAGATTAACAAGAAGAACAATATTAATGAGGCACAGCAATTCTACAGAAAATATTTTTTTCCTGGAAGAAGTTACCAGACTCTAGCTCCCTGCTAATCAGATATTAGAAAAGGAAGATGAAATCTATGGTAGTGACTTGTAACCACTAGAAAAATCAAATCCCATGAGAGGATATGCCAATAAATTAACCATTCCCACATACTCCACTTTGTTTGAAACATTCATATGCTTAAAGGGTGGTAGTAGAATGGATGAGCCTAGTATAAAGGAACTATTTGATATGTTGGTGCTGATTTGAATCCCCACCAACCAGACAAGACTGTAACATCTACCAAAGAATTAGTTAATCCAGATCTAAAATATTAGAATTATCTATTTAAAAAAGTAATTGTATTGGGGGCTCAATACAGCTCTTATCAGTCTATTCATCCATCCATTGTGTCAAGCACATTTGTACATATGTTGCCATCATCATTTTCAAAACATTTTCTTTCTACTTGAGCCCTTGGTATCAGATCCTCATTTTTTCCCTCCCTCCCCCATCCTCCCTCCCTCATGAACCCTTGATAATCTATAAATTATTATTATATTTTATATCTTACACTGAGAGATGTCTCCCTTCACCCACTTTTCTGTTGTCCGTCCCCCCTGGGGGAGGGGGTTATATGTAGATCCTTGTGATGAGTTCCCCCTTTCTCCCTCCACCCTTCTGGTATCACTGCTCTCATTATTGGTTGAGGGGATTTATCTGTCCTGGATTCCAAATGTTTCCAGCTCTTATCTGTACCGGTGTACATGCCCTAGTCTAGCCGGATTTCTAAGGTAGAATTAGGGTCATGATAGTGGGGGAAGAAGCATTAAAGAAATAGAGGAACTCCCCGCCCCTCCCATCCTGCCCTGGAGAGGCTGGCCAAGGCGCTGCCCGCCGCCTCGCCTGAGGCTCTTCTACTTAGCTGAGGACCCCACCCCACCCACTCCCCACCTGTCCACGTGGGTTAAATGGGCTGGCAGCGTGCAGCTCCCGGAAACGGCTACGTGTTTGGGGCTGCTAACGTTCTAGCGCTGCAGGCGACTGTGAGGACACAGAGAGAACACCACGGTTGAGCAGGTGGCCCTGAGCCAGGCACAGTTGTGCGGCGTCCTCCCAGCATCCTTCCACCGATGGCTGAGCAGGTGGCCCTGAGCCAGACGGAGGTGTGTGGCATCCTCCGGGAAGAACTGTATCGTGGGGATGCCTTCCACCATTCAGAAACACACATTTTTATCATCATGGGCGCCTCGGGCAACTTGGCAAAGAAGAAGATCTACCCTACCATCTGGTGGCTGTTCCGGGATGGCCTTCTGCCTGAAGCCACCTTCATCGTGGGCTTTGCCCGCTCTCGCCTCAGCATGGCCGATATCCGCAAACAGAGCGAGCCATTCTTCAAAGCCACCCCCGAGGAGAAGCCGAAGCTTGAGGAATTCTTTGCCCGCAACTGCTATGTGGCCGGCCACTACGACGACCCTGCCTCCTACCAGCGCCTCAACAGCCACGTGAACGCCCTCCACCAGGGCTCCCAAGCCAACTACCTCTTCTACCTGGCTCTGCCCCCCACCGTCTACGAGGTCGTCACCAAGAACATCAGTGAGACCTGCATGAGCCCCACGGGCTGGAGCCGCATCATCTTGGAGAAGCCCTTCGGCAAGGACCTGCAGAGCTCTGACCGCCTGTCCAACCACATCGCCGCACTGTTCCGGGAGGAGCAGGTCTACCGCATCGACCACTACCTGGGCAAGGAGATGGTCCAGAACCTCATGGTGCTGAGGTTTGCCAACAGGATCTTCGTTCCCATCTGGAACCGGAACAACATCGCCTGCGTGATCCTTACCTTCAAGGAGCCCTTTGGCATCGAGGGCCGCGGCGGCTACTTTGATGAATTTGGAATTATCCGTGATGTGATGCAGAATCACCTCCTTCAGATGCTGAGTCTGGTGGCCATGGAGAAGCCCGCTTCCACCAAATCGGATGACGTCAGGGATGAGAAGGTCAAAGTCTTGAAGTGCATCACTGAAGTGAAGGCTGAAGACGTGGTCCTGGGGCAGTATGTGGGGAACCCCAGCGGAGAAGGTGAGGCCACAAAAGGGTATCTGGACGACCCTACGGTGCCCCAAGGTTCCACCACGGCCACCTTCGCTGCTGCCATCTTATATGTCAAGAACGAAAGGTGGGATCGCGTGCCCTTCATCCTGCGTTGCGGCAAGGCCCTGAACGAGCGCAAGGCCGAGGTGCGGCTGCAGTTCCGAGATGTGGCGGGGGACATCTTCCACCAGCAGTGCAAGCGCAACGAACTGGTGATCCGCGTGCAGCCCAATGAGGCCGTGTACACCAAGCTGATGACCAAGAAGCCCGGCATGTTTTTCAACCCTGAAGAGTCTGAGCTAGACCTCACCTACAGCAGCCGATATAAGAACGTGAAGCTTCCTGATGCCTACGAGCGCCTCATCCTGGACGTCTTCTGCGGGAACCAGATGCACTTCGTGCGCAGTGACGAGCTCCGGGAGGCCTGGCGGATTTTCACCCCGCTGCTGCACAAGATTGATCACGAGAAGCCCCAGCCCATCTCCTACGTTTATGGCAGCCGAGGGCCCACGGAAGCAGATGAACTGATGAAGAGAGTCGGCTTCCAGTATAAAGGCGGCTATAAGTGGGTGAACCCCCACAAGCTCTGAAGGCCTGCTCCCCGCCCCTGTGCCTGTGTTGCCCTCAGTTGATCAGGACTTTGTGACCAGGTGACAACCCCACATTCCCCAACCCCCTCAGCTCAGCCTTGAGCTCCCAGTACATTCCAAAATTCTGGCTGTAAGCAAGGATCTTCCTGCAGGCACCATCTACTGTTCCCAAGGCCCAGGACAGGAGTCATGATAGTGGGCACCACCAGGGAGCTATGAGCTTGTCCATTCTCCCTCAGAAAGGAGGGAGTCGTGCCCCTGAGAACGTGCTGTGGCACCATTAGACATTCCAGCACACTCCCATGTCTATGGCCCCGGAGGCACCCCCACCAACAGCTCCTCCATAAAGGACAGCAGCCAGCTCCCCTCCCCCACCTCCCTCCCCCCTGACATTAAAGCTGCATGCCAAAAAAAAAAAAAGAAAGTTGTATGGGTTTTTTGGGGTAACTATCTAACTATGCTTTTATTTCTCTTTTGAGAAAAAAGAGCTGAATATTAGGATCATAGATAATTTTTTCTCCTCTTGGCCTGTCATTTTTTCCCTAGTGTTTCTTTTAATTTATTATTATTTTTAATCATTTAATTGGGAGCTTATACAACTCTTATCACAATCCATACATAC